AAAAAAAAAAAAAAAAAAAAAAAAAAAAAAAAAAAAAAAAAAAAAAAAAAAAAAAAAAAAAAAAAAAAAAAACTATATGATATATAAATTCAAAACCAAAATTCATACACATTTAAGTTTAATAAATTACAAATTTTGTCCGATTATTAAATTTTAAAAATGTTTAGTAAATTCTAAAATTTTAAATCTCCATCTAATATCTTTTAATATTGATAGATATATTAGATAAAAATTTAAATTGTGAAGTTTAAGAAATTTTATTAGAAACAAAATTGAAAAAATTATGAATAAAAAATTAAAAAATCAACAAATCTATTATACACAAAATTAAAGCGTTTTTAAATTTTTTGGGAGCCTATCGAACTCGTTCGAGAATAAATTAATAATTTAACCATAATTTTAATTCTTATATTTGGAACATAATTTTCTATAAAAAATAGAAAAAAAGCATTGGTATATATTATTCTAAAATGTCAGCCGATCATTTGGGCGGTAGCCTGTAACGCACATCTTTCTCCCCTTTTATTCTCTTTTGTATTATTATTATTATTTAATTTTTAGGGGTAAATTGTAATAACCCGTTCGATCATTTTGAATCGCTCCACGTGTACGGATTTGATTCCCTAATCAACGGTTTTCTCAAAATATTCTTCGTCACTCGATTACGTATTATTAATTTTTTTTATTTATTTAAAATTTAATTTTCTCAAACCATAAATATTAAGAAGTATATATATTTGTCCAAAATTTAAAGGCTAATTTTTAAAATTAAGAAACTTAAATTGAATATTTAAAAATTAAAGTCTATAAATAAATAAATTATAAAGTTTAATCCATAAAATATTAAACCAAATGCACCTGTATTGACCTTTGCTCTTTTGTTTTTGGGTGGGAGAAGTTATAGAGAATAAATTTTAAATAGGTTTAAAGTTTTTTTTTTTAAATAATAAATAAAATTAAATATTAAGAAAAAATAATAAAGTTAAAAGAATAATGTGCCAGGTCATATTCCATAGCACAGCACCTGGTCGGAACTACTTGCTTTACGGTGGGAAGTTTGCCAAAGAATATATATATATATATATATATATAACAATAATAAATTTTAATTAAACTAGAAGCCTTAATGATTTTAATTTTTTTTTTTTTTAGAAATAACTCGAAGTAATTATATACAATATTTAAATACGTGTAAGAAATAAATAAAATAAATAATAAATAATTAATGTTTATTTGAGTATGGTTTAGTGGATAGTGGCTCAAATTGTGAGTGTTATGATTGGAGAGAAAAAAAAAAATAATATTACTTACAATTTTCCTGCAGATGTGTTTTAAAATCGTGAGAATGATGCCGATATATAATGGGTTAAAGCTGACAATATCTATTAATGGTGGGCTTGGACTGTTACAAATCGTATAAGAGTCAGACACGGTGTGTCAGGGATGACGTTAGGGTTCTAAGCGGTGGATTGTGAAATCCCATCTTGGCTAGAGAGGGAAACAAAATATTTCTTATAAGAATGTTGGCCAAGTGTGTCAGCGAGGACGTTATGCTCCTAAGAGGTGGATTGTGAAATTTCATATTAGCTAGAGAGGGGAATGAAACATTTCTTATAAGAATGTAAGCCTGATGTGTCAGCGAGGACCTTACGCTCTTAAGGGGTGGACTGTGAGATCCCATATTGGCTAGAGAGGGAAACAAAATATTTCTTATAAGAATGTTAGCTTGGTGTGTCAACGAGGACATTAGAGCCCTCTGAGGGGTGAATTGTGAGATCCCATTTTGGCTAGAGAGGAGAACAAAACATTTCTTATAAGAATGTTTGTCCAGTGTGTCAGCGAGGACGTTAGGCTTCTACGGGTGGACTGTGAGATCCCATATTGGCTAGAGAGAGAAACAAAATATTTCTAACCAGAATGTCACAATTTTAAAACTGTGAGATTGACGACGATATATAGCAGATCACATACAATATCTATTAGCGGTAGACATAAACTATTACAAATGATATTCATTTTAAGAACTTAAAAACTGAATGCGAATTGATCTGTGATGGACTAATACATTAATTTTTCTAAAAATTAAAAGAATTTTGCCCAAAAAAACAATGGTTAATACATTAATTTGTTGTGTTATGTTTCTTAAATGCTTTTGTTGTTGG